TTATCCGGTCATCCATGTGGACGCACACCGCCATGTGCATGCATATTTGCACACATACTGGTGTGCATGTATGCACGAGTGTTTGCAAGCACTGTAAATTTAGGAGAAAAGAGTACGAGCTGTCAACTGACATTTTTTTATCAAGAAATCAAGACTATTGTCTATGCACGTAAACGATTGTTTGATTGCGCCCGACTCATGCGAGATCGCATAAGGCTCACACGAGAACGTGTGCAACCTCAGGGTATATTGAATCGAGACGCAGAATCACGAGCGTGTGAAAAATGACCGGCGGGACTCCCGCCTGAGAGCCGGCGAAGGTCAGCGGCGGCGGCACCGTAACCATTGCCCACATGAACAGCAACCCAGGCCGCCAGACTCAGCCACTGTCTTTTTCCGAGCCAATCCGGCGTAACGCATAACGGCTCCGCTTCATTCCAAGCCAACCCGCAGATGCGTCCCACCCCTCACGGTCTGAAACATACTCTCAGACGCATTCCACGCCTTCCAGTCTGAACTAGACCGACAGAAGCATGCAGCTCCTCTCATTCTGAACCGGACTGGCAGGTGCATCCTTACCTTTCACTCCGTCCATAGCCGCGGGGCCGTCCCGGCCCCGCCCGCGCGGCCCATTCCAGCGGCGCCGCCGTTGTTTTTGTTGTGCTCTTCGGCCGGTGACAAAAACTGGGCCGGTGCTGGCCGCGCCGCCGGCGCCGGGCCGCGGCCTTCGGTGCCGCGCTGCCTGCGCCGCCCGGGTGACGTCGAGTGTGCGTGGCGCCCGGCCTGCTTTCTCCCCCCCCCCCTCCCCCCCCTCCGACTCCCGGCTGTCAGCGCCTGGCGCTCAGCCACGTCAGGAGTGGTGAGGGGCCATTACCAGAGGGTCTGCAGCCTGGGCCAGACTTGGTGCGCAGTGGAGGTGGTGGCGACGGCTGGGGTTGTGTTGACGTGGCCAATCAACGCTCTCGCCGACGCTCCAGCAGCGATATTTCACCGTTGTTTTGATCGGCGTGGAATGCTTCTTAGATGATTGGGGCTTATCGCTTCACAGCGTTAGCCTCGTTCTGTCGACGTTCGAGCATGTGTTGTCATTACGGGACCACATTTGAACGCTTTTATCAGAACACAACAGCACTTTCTCCCAGGCACGTATGTTGACCTTCAGCACCAGCCTCAGCAATATTTAGGAGGTTGTCCAGACTCTAGTTTAGTCTCCCCTCGACCTTTCATGAGGTCGTGTGTCCCAGCAGGCATAACGGGCACCATACACTGCCGCGTGAGCGCCAGGGCCGTTCATCACCGGCATACAGCGCGGTCTGCGCAACAGCCCATTCCGTTGACCTGCTGGAACTTGGGGTGAGAGTCGGACCGCTCGCAGTCAGCTGTTGATTGCTGGTCGGCTGCGCCAGCGATGGGAGTCAGGTGAACAGCAGGACAGATGCGGCTGCTGGCCTCGAGTGGCCCGGCGCTCGAGGTCGTACCAGGGTACCACCCTCTGGAGGAATGGCGACAACCTCCGTATACGTGCCGTCCTCGGTGACATATTAGGCGGTTTGTGGCGTGACCTTCCTGCTGCAAAACCCTCTCTCCTGTCACCGGCTCCGTGCTTTAGGCACCGACTCGATTACAGGACGTTATCAGATTTCAGTTGTCATAATTTAGTAGCACCGAGTCGCGTACGTTAAGAAGGTGCTAAGAGGCGAAGGGAAGGGTACAAGTCTCACACCATTATATGCCGCGCAAGTTATCTGAGAATGAGATCCGCAGTTCCATGGGATAATACAACAAATCGAATTATAAACGAAATACTACTATTGCCAAACTAACCTAAGCTTAACTTACATATGCGGCTAGTTGAATTATTCACATGGACGATTCTTTGCTGACAAAAGTTAACCGAAATTGCTTTTGATGTGAAACACTCGCTAGCAGCTTAACCACCATGTGTGCTCGTCATCTAAAATGCACACATACTGCCTTCCTCTCACGCACACTACTCGCACCAAACACACTTCCACCACTCATGCTGCCACATACCTCACATACCTACTGTGGTCGACTTTTTGCTTGCCTCAACTTCCTCGTCTCATTCTTTTGTGCTACGCTTTGTCCGAAACGTTAGCTCCATTCATTCCTCCGCCACGAGGCACCGCGCGGACGACCGGTCAGCTTCACACCTGCATCCTCTGCTGCAGATCACCTTCGGCGTCGCCCCAGGATAGGTTCAACAACGCGCGGCTGAAGTTTGTGCAGATGGAGCAAGACAAGGAGATAGCGCCGCCGCCGGCAGTATCTCCGAAAAAGTCCAGCTCTCCCGGTATGTGGTCACGCCTTCAGCGTAATTGGGATCGCTTGGCGAACGGTACTGGTGGTGAGGGGGGCTGCGTCAGAAAAAAGATCGGAGACCGTTTCGCCCATTTTTAACACTTCTTGAGATGCTTGATCGCCCTTCTAGTTTAGTTGCATGCGCTTAAATGCCTGTCTCGTCAGTCATGACAGGGAAGTCCGATTGCGTCCTTCGACAGCCCTCTGTACAGTCTCGTCTGTCCCGGACATGACTCTCCTTCGACAGCTCTCTGTACAGTCTCGTCTGTCCCGGACATGACCATCCTTTGACAGCCCTCTGCGCAGTCTCGTCTGTCCCGGACATGACCCTCGTGACCGGCCGCCAGATACCCCAGTGTCCGAGCTCGACGGCGGCCGCGGATGGCGTCAGCCCAGCTTCCCCGACATCGGCAGCAGGGAGGACTCCGCTCCGCCGCCGCCAGGCGCGCACGCCGACAAGGGGTGGCGCCTGCCCCGCTCCGCCGTCGAGGACGCCAGAGAAGAGGAGCCCGCGCGCAGGGTCGGCGAGCCGGAGAAGGGCTGGCGTCGGCCGCGCTCTTCTCGGGAGGGCAGCGGGGTGGAAGAGGCGAGCCGCGGCATGCCGGAGCCGGAGCTGCGTCCGCGCGAGACCCGCTCGCCGGCAGGGGGCAGCAGCGGCGAGGAGGCGCTGCGGAGGGACGCGCGCGGGCGGCCGCACGTGGCCGACATCTTCCGTCGGGCGGCGCCGGAGCCGCGGCTCTCTCCGGCCGCGGACAGCGGCAGGCGGCCGCCGCCCGGAGACCGCGCCAGACCACGCCGGGACGACGAGGTGCGCCCGCCGCCGGCACCTGAGCAGCGCCTGCGGCCGGCTGTCCGCACCGGCCGGCACGTGGAGCCGGCCGCCGAGGAAGGCACGGCGTTCGCGGGGGATTGCGATCCACGTCCCGACGAGGTGCACGCCAGGGTCGACCGCTGGGTGCGCAGCGCCGCCCAGGCCACGCCGTTCACACGAGCTCTCAGCTACGATGAGACCCCGTCGCCGGACGCCAGGGGCCGCGGCTGGCGCGAGCAGGAGGAGGAGCTGGCGGCGGTGCCGGCCGGCGTGGCTCGCCGCCCGCCGTCTGCCCGGCGCCCGTCAGAGCTCAGTGAGCGGGAGCCCGGCCCTCCGGACAGCGGTCCGGACCCGCGGCCCGGCCGCATCGTCAAGTCGCGCTCCACGGACACCTTCCTGGACGCCGAGCCGCCGGTGGAGGCCCACCGCGGCCGGCCGGCACGCGCGACCGACCGCGACCAGTGGCGCCGCTCGGCGGCTCAAGTGACGGCCGAGCTGCGACAGCGCTCGCGAGACCCGGAGGAGGCGGAGGCGCGGCCGCCGCGTCCCCGCGGCCAGGAGGAGCGCGGCCCGCGGCCGCGCTCGCCGGTCGAGCGGCTCCGTTCCGGCGGCAGCCTGCAGTCGGAGCCGCGCGCCGGCGAGCGACGCGGCCGCTACCAGGAGCTGCAGGGCGCCAGCCGGCTGCCGGGCCTGGACCGGGAGACGGCGCGCGACCCGCTGGGCCACCAGCCGGAGGCGGCGCGCCACCGGCCGGCACTGCAGCTCGACTACCGGCAGAACCTGCCGCGCCGCCGCGATCGCAGCTGCGACGTGCGGGAGGCGCGCCGGCCGCCAGCGCGCGAGCAGCGTCGCGATGACGTCCGACACGAGGACTACCGTCCCCGCGCTCGGTATGGTGACGAGGGTAGGCACCGCCCGGCCGAGGGGCCGCCGTCCGGACGCGGCTTCGCGGAGCAGAGGATGCAGTACCCGAAGCCGGGGTATGACGCCAAGGGTCGTTCCCGACACAGCTTGGCTGACCCTCACGCGATGCCGCAGTATAACTACGCGGCCGGGGTAGCGGCTTACCCGTACTAGGCCGCCATCTAGCGACAAGATGTGGGACTAGAGCCATCGTTAGCTGCTGGGAGGTGTCCGGTTCCTAAGGCAGCGGTATGTGGTGGTTCTTATGGGTGATACGGATCGCCGATGGATTATTTTCAGTCAGATGCATGGATAATATTTGAATGTGATATGCTAACAGCGTTAGTAACCGACGTCATGTAGTGTTTTGCTCTGTCTACATGCTAGCTAAGAACGGCTCAATCCAGGAGTAGTGTATGGCGGTAGTCCGACGTCCAGTGCAATGGAGAAGTGTCGCCACTATTTTGTGTGTGAAGGTTTCAATAAACTGCAATTAAAGCCTGGTATGTGAACCACGCATGAGTACGCGGGTCTTCAGCCAGACTGATATCTTAGCGCCTAGCATAGCCGCAGCGACGAGTTACACGTCTACACTATCATTGAACGTGTAAACTTGTCACGAAACTTGGTTAGAAGCGCATCGGGTTATTTCACTTCCATGCACCACAAGGTGTTGCAGAAATCTAAAATTTCTAGCCTCATAACATCGAGCTTATGCGTGATACACGTATGACTTGAACGCTAAAATAGTGCCGTCGGGCAACCGACGATACATACATCATAACGGCAGTGCATGTCCAGCCTCCGGCGTCCACCCGTGTCAGCTGAACACCAGAAATGGGTAAACTCGGGTCAGGGTCAGCAGCAACAGGCATGTATTGCAATCACAGCTACCATGACAATGTACACTTAGAAATCTATCATCGGTGAGAAGTACTCAGATACAGCATTCCGCGGCCGTTTCCTAGGCGGAGGTGATGTCCTGCAGCCGCTCGTCGTCCTCCTCTTCGTCGTCCTCCTCCTCATCATCGTCGTCACCCAGCTGGCCGGAGTCGAGGCCTTCGTCGCCCAGCTGGCCGGGGTCGAGACCGACAGCGGCCGCAGCCAGCCGGTACCGGGCCGCCCGGTCGGCCGGTCTCGGTCGGCTCAGGCCGGGCGGCCAACGGCCCCGGCGCCGCTCGCGCTCCGAGCGCCGCCCCGTGAACAACAGCATCCGGCCGGGGCCGTGGTTCAGAGCGTAGCCGGCCAGCGCCGAGAACGGCACGCCCATCACCAGCACGTGGTGGCCAGTTGTAGAAGAAGCGCCAGACGCCGTGGTGGTCACCGCGCACGTCCAGGTCCCACAGGTTGAGGCAGGTGGCTACCTTCTCCCAGCCGGCCGTGTCGGCGGCGCTGGTCATCCGCACGAACAGCACGTACGTCTGGTTGGTGGCGTTGGACGGGATCATGTCCCCGCAGGTGAGGCGTGACTGCGAGCCGTCCAGCTTGGTGGCAGAGCGCAGCAGCTCCATCAGCTGCGCCGTGTAGCGGGGCAGCACCATCCGCTCCACGTCCTTCAGCCTCACGTCCGGCTGCCGGTTCAGCGCGTGGTCCCAGTAGTACTTATACTGCATGGCCGAGCCGACGTGGCCGCCCTGGAAGCCGAAGTGGTAGGTGCGCGGCACGTCGGGGACAACACAATCGCGTCCCTTCCGGCGGTCGGCGTGCCGCACCAGCACGTCCCAGTCGAAGTCGGCGCCGGGCGCCGGCCAGCTCGGCAGCAGCTCGTCGAAGAAGAGGCTGCGGGTCAGCATCCAGCCGAGGCCGGGCATGAAGCCGACGCGGTAGAGCAGCGCCGCGTCACCCACCGTGTGCCGGTAGCCGTGGTCGTTCCAGGCGGAGATGCAGTACAGACTGACGTCCTCGTCCAGCAGGTGGTGCGTCTGCTGGAAGAAGCTGACGAAGTCGGGCGACACCTCTAGGTCCTCCTCAAGCAGCACGAGTTTGTCAGCCGTCGGAAACAGCTCGAACGCCTTCCGGATCGTGTAGCGGTAGGCGGAGCCGATGCGGGAGGCGGCACCGCGCAGGGCGGCCCCCGCCGGCTCGGCGAAGTGCGTGTGCGACGTAACGTTGAGCAGCCGCAGCAGCTCCTGCACCTCCCGGCGCTCGCCATCGCTGAAGACCACCAACTTGGCCGGGTCGAGGCCGCGGTTCGGCAGCAACGAGGCGAGGCAGCGGTACAGGTAGCGCGGTCGGTCACTGGCGAGTACGACCACCGGGTACGGGAAGCGCGTGCTGTCGGCAAAAGGGCGGGGCGGCGCCGGCAGCGACGGCGCGTCACAGTCGCACAGGGCGCCGTAGCCGTCGTACCGCTGGCAGAATTCTCGTCGGCGGAGGTCGGCGGCGTCGGAGGTCCGCGCGCAGTCGGCCCGCTCGCTGGCGGGTACTGTGACGGCTAGACGCAGGGTCGGGCCCGGCGGCTCGCCGGCCGCCAGGGCGAGCAGGTTCGGCACGTACCCCTCGCCGAGGACGGCACCGCCCTTCACCGCCACCAGCGCGAACACGGAGCGCGTCTGCAGGTCGGGCGCAAAGCTGGAGTTGAGCGCGCGGAACAGCGCCTCGCCGTGCTGGTCCAGCGAGAGCGCCGCCTCAGCCAGCACGCACAGCACCACGGCCCGGCCCGGCCGCACGCCCGCCAGGAAGGCCTCGAGCGCGCGGAACGCGCCGCCCGGCGCGTGGCCCGCTGCGAACGTCCGGCCGGTGGCGCGGCCCGTGCGCGTGTTCAGCGACAGCGCGTACATGCCGTTCATGTCCAGCCGCCAGGCGGACGGGCTGCCGCTGTCGGAGGAGCGCGGCTTCGTCTGGTCCAGCAGGAGGCGGCCGTCGGCGCGCACGCGGCACGAGTCGACCGACGAGATCACCTCCACCAGCAGGCCGGCGGTGGCTTCCCGCGCCAGCTCAGCCGCCAGCCGACTGTCCTCGTGCACCCGGCCTGACCGCCGGCCACCGGCTGCGCCGGACCGCAGGGTGACACTGTCCAGCCGGGCGAGCACGCCGAGCAGCAGCAGCAGGCGACTCGCGTCTGAAACGGCAGACCCGGAGCGGGATCCGTGAACACAGCCCAGCAGGAATGTGGAGGTTTGAGTCACTTCGGCGCATGACAGTGCCATTATCAAACGCTTGCTCTACGGACTATGGAACTGTTCTACTGTTGGAACGGGGTAATAGTCCTTAGCTAATGCAGAGCATTGGCCTGGTCAAGTGTGTTATTGCTTACACAACTTTCCGGCCGGTTCCTTTGTTGACCATCGCCAATTTTACGTTAATCAATTATTCCATGGGCATCAAACACTTGTCAAAATTCGCATATCCATTATCCCATTATCCGGCTCTCAGGGAGTGATGCAGCAATAATAGTTTTTTGAAACGTGTCGCATAAGATATACGTTCGTTCTAAACACGAAGTATATAAATGCAACATCATCACGCTTCGCACAATGATGGACACCACCGATAGCCATCATTTGAATTGCCATCATGTAACCGGACACGATTAATGGTTATGCTAGACATGATCAACATTGTTCTCAGAAATCGACTCTATAACATGTTGGCTAATGTTTCTTTTACGGCAGCGAAAAATCCGATACTGGGAGGCAGCTAATGTGGTTCAGTCATGAACATTCGACAGTACAAGAAATAAGATCAGTTGCTCAGTGTCAAACTTATGGGGGCGAATAAGAAATTTGCAAGTGAAAAGGTGAGCTTCCGAGAACAACATCAATGCCGTCCTCACCGACCCTGCATTGTACGTACCTCGCATGGTGCTCCTGAGTGTTCCGCAGCTGGGTCACATGGGTGCTGTGGGCAGAGCTGACGCTTACAGCACGGTCGGCAGCGATCTGCGCTCGCCAGCCGCGAGCCCGGCCCCAACCGAGCCGCTCAGCTGGCGACGCTGGCCTCCAGAGGTCAATGGCTCGTCTGCGAGAGCCGGCGCGCTGCTGCGGGACCGAGGGGCCGGGCCGCTGCCCGACCGGGCGGGCGGGCGGGACGCTGGCCGACCAGGCGGGCGGGCGAGACACTGCCCGACCGTGCGGGATACACTGACGGACCGGGCGGGATGCTGCCGGATCGGACGGGATGCTGCCGGACCGGGCGGGGTGCTGCCAGACCGGGCGGGATGCTGCCGGACCGGGCGGGATGCTGCCGGACCGGGCGGGATGCTGCCGGACCGGGCGGGATGCTGCCGGACCGGGCGGGATGCTGCCGGACAAAGCAGGATTCTGCCGGACCGGGCGGAATACGGCTACGATGCCAGGGTCGGATGGAGTCTGGCCCACTAGTGTCTGCACCTACGGGACATCCCCGAAATCGAATCAGCGGGGTTGGAATTAAATTTATGTCTTTGTCATTCACTTTTTGCGCCGGTCTTTTTTAGCACTGAAGCGTCAAGAAGCTGCTGAGCTGCGTGTGACGGAATAACAATACTCTGAACGGAATCGACACCGCGCAATGTCGTCATACGGCGCACTGTAAATAAGACATGTCAAGCATCCCTTGCAAAGAAGACGACCAGCAAAATATTCAGGGGAAGCATGCTGCCTGACAGAGAACACACACTGACCGAACGTGGTCAGGCTGATTTGACTGAGGTCTGCCAGATTCACTGATCATTGCATCATCTTTTGAAAATATAGCGACCAGGGTCATCATGGTAATCTTGATTTCAGGGGCTAGCCAAGGAACGGCAATGCAGCTGCCTTTGGTCTCAGAAATTACAAGACGCGTAAAAACCAAGCGTAGCTATTCGTATCGTGGCGTACGATTTCATCCACCATTGAACATTTGGTGACCAAAAATCACGATGTTGACGTGCATTGGAGGGTCACCATGGGTAGCACTGCATATGTGATACATGCGATAGTGGGGCCGCGATAGATCGAGGTGGAAGGGATCATATGGGACCGGACGGGAATAGACGGAACAAATCAGAACGGACCAGCTCCAAACAGTTATGGACGGAACTCAACTCGACCGGACAGGAGAAGGCGGGCACGTACGCGAACATACCTAGAAGACATATGCAACTGGAGGAAACCGGACGGAAGCAGGTGGAACTAGACCAAACCACATTGGGTCCGGACGGGGCCGGACGGGACTTTATGGACCGGACGGGACCAGGCGGAACCGGACGGGACCAGACGGGACCGGACGGTACGGGGCGTGAGCGGCAGGAGCCGTAAGGAACTACACTGGACCAGACGATCCCAGACCCAGCCGGACGGGTCTGCGCGGGGCCAGGCAGGACTGAAAAGAAATGAACGCCGTCGGACGGGATAGGACGGGAACATGTGGGGCTGGACGGGACCGGACGGAGCTAGAGAGAGACCACATGGGATCAGACTGGACCGGACGGGGTCTGACGGGACGGGACAGGACGAAACTCAGTCTCGTTCAGTTTCTCATGGTTTCACCTGGCCTAGCTTGGTTCCGTCTGACTCCGTCCGATGCCTCACAGTTCCGTCTGGTTCCGTCCGATCGCTCTCGTTCCCACCAGTTCCTCCCCGTTCCGCCTAGTCCCGTCTAGTCTTATCCACTTATGTCCGGTGCTACCGTGCTCTGACCGATCCAATCTGGTTCCGATCACTTCCGTATGGTACTGTCCTGTCCGTTCGGTTCCGTCAAGTCACGCCGTTCCGTCCCGTCTGGTGCCGTGCGGCGCCGTACAGCTATCGTCCGGCCACGTCTTGTCCCTTCCAGCCTGGGATATTGCTGTCTGTCCCTTCTGTCTGGTCTCGTCCGGTTTCAGTCTTTCTCGTCTGGTCCTATCTGGTCCCAATCGGTACCACTTACTCAGCACGGCTGCATCAAGTCAAACCCAGTCCCGTCTGGTTTCGCCCAGTCCCATTTGAACTCGTGCAGTCCAGTCCCTTCTTACCAAATTGTTTTACGAAACAATGGTAAATGATCCGGGTGTGGGGATGTTCCTGCGATAAGTAGTGTGCAATTTCCACAACTGGTGAACGAAGTACTTGTCATGGTGCGAGACATATCAATAATTGCAAAATATATGCAGATTCTAATATTTCCAGGTGATTGACGTCATTGTTTGAGCTTGCGGGAAATGCTGTTTCTGGTGCATAACAGTATTGCTTTGAGGCACCCATGCTCGCAGTGGGAGATAAAAATTGCACATTTTGAGTGAAATGAGTGGAAGTTGAACAGCATTTACCTCAGAGGTCATGAGCACCAAGATGGTTTCAGAGACAGCAGTGAAGTGGTGATGTTCATTAATGTTATTGCACAGCCTTATTATTCTGACAATTCATGCGATTCGTAGACGTTAGCGGTGTCTGCTAAACTTTGCCACTGCAAGGCACAGCGAGACTGGAGCATAATAATAACGCCCTGTACACATATGCGGCTTCGAATAGGGCCATTTGCACAACCGAAGTCAAAGGCCGTGGCGAAGTTCCGCAGTAAGCTGTTTTCTCTTTGCCCCCAGTGCTCAGCAGCGGAGTTTCGGTCCATTACATCTTACGGCTCGTAGCATATAACGTTCCTGCTTTAGTTGCATGTTGAGGACTGGAGGTGAGGTGATAGCTGATTGGGAGTGACCTAATCTCCTGGGCCCAAGAGCTCATATCACTGGGAGGCAGGCAACCTGGTGAAAGATGCCTTCAGATGGGAAAGCAAAGGTGACAAAGAAAGTGGACCTGAGGAGATTGATGCAACAAAAGAAACAAGATGCTGCACAATCAAAGAAGGTTGACTCACCACTAGCAAGATATCCTTTGGTACACAGACTCTGGTTATGCTTTGATGCTCAATTCACCAACTGTTTGTGCCCATCATAATATCATGTGTAGTCATTTGCTCTCATTGTGATATTCATACTGTGATTATGGTAACTTTTGTGATAAACTAACAACACTTATATATACATACCTATGCATGCAAATATTCAATATTTGTATGTATTTATGTCTTGCTCACTAATGTTTGATAACATTTGTGTGTGCTGTATTGTGTCTCCCTGTGTTATAGCTGTGTTTATTATTGTCAATTGGTTTTGGAGGTCTACTGTGTATAAGATGTGGCTCCTGATTTAACCACAAGCAAAAAAAAGATTGATTGGTGAAATGTTTGACATAAAAGAGAAAACCTGGATATTGCAGCTATGATGGCCATATATATTTGCAATTGCCAATTATGGCATCACTCACCTTATCTGTCCTGTTCCAAGTAATGAGTCACAACCAGTGGTATTTGTTGCACATATATGCTTCTGGTATCTGCCATATCTGCATTTTGTGCATGTGCTGTAAGTACAGTTCACATACAAAGATTGCTGATGACAAACATTTGCATTATGGATATTTACTCATACAAGCATAAGTGTTTGTAAACATGCATGTCACAAACATTGGCAGGCATGAACATGTGTGGTACCACCATCCATTAAGCAAATACCTGTCTTTCATATACATGGCAGGTATTCACTTACTTGCATGTATTAACACTTAAGATCAAGTGCATTATGGGCCTCTGCCCTCATACACATTTGCATAGAAACATTTGTGTATGGACATCTGCCTTACAAGCATTTGTATTGTGTTCCACTCCTAGGTATATAGTGTTGCAATAGAATACAAAGCTCAAAGGTCACAATCTTTTGGTTTCTGAAGTTATGCTTGTATTTAATATTCTTGTTGCAATGATTTCATGCTTTCTTCAGAAAAGTGACAAATTTTTTAGTATTTTCAACCCTTTTAAAAAATGTAGCTTGACAGCACCGCAACATTAATGGCTCTGAGTCCCTGTCCAATGGCTCTGAGTTTCCAAGTGGCATCTTTCCTTTGGCATGGATGGCCAGGGTACCCCTAGTATGCTCTTGAATCACCTAGAGCAGGAGACCTGCAGACAGTTAACCCCTTGCAATGGTTGGGAGGCTGATGTGGGCATGTGATGAGGTTCTGTTGGTGTGCCTGCCCTGGTTGTAGACTGCCTCATTTATCAGTGTGTGGAGGCTGTTGCCTTGACAGGAGGTGAGGCTGGTGAGGGGCTTTTGTGTTCATCAGTTGAAAAATGTGGAACTTTGATACACTGGGAGGCTCTGGTGAAAAGAATATATTGAACAACCATGTATTGAATATCTTATGAGAATATTTGAAGTTTTCCACTGAGCCTGTGGTCATGAATTGGGATAAGTATCACTGTCACTGTCAAGTGTTTTTGAAATGCATGTTGGTGTGTCTTTCCAACATTACTGCACATTTTTGTTGGTCAGTACAATTTTTCAGCAAAGAAACTCCAGGCACCAAAAAGCCATGAGCTTTTACCTACCAGCGCTTGATGACAGTACATCATGCAAACCTGGGTGTTATTTGATTTCAATTGTTCTGGCTTCGGAGGTAGTCTGCCTGAGACGGCCTTCGCCTGATCCAACCAAGAACATGACATACCCACCTTGTGCCTGACACAGCAGCAGGCAGCACCTTCGTATGCATCGGTGTGTTTCCTTGACCGCGCCCGCACGTACTCGTCGGCCAACTGATTGTTCAGCCGTGTGTCTTGAGCGCCGCACGGCCCGAGCAACAGCGTGCTGCATGTGTTTCCTGACCGCGCCCGCACGTACGAGCTCGGGCCACGAGCTGTGTCGTCTGCCGTGTGTTTCCTTGACCGCGCCCGCACGTACTCGAGCTCGGGCCATGAGCTGTGTCGTCTGCCGTGTGTTTCCTTGACCGCGCCCGCACGTACTCGAGCTCGGGCCAGCTGAGCTGTGTCGTCTGCCGTGTGTTTCCTTGACCGCGCCCGCACGTACTCGAGCTCGGGCCAGCTGAGCTGTGTCGTCTGCCGTGTGTTTCCTTGACCGCGCCCGCACGTACTCGAGCTCGGGGCAGCTGAGCTGTGTCGTCTGCCGTGTGTTTCCTTGACCGCGCCCGCACGTACTCGAGCTCGGGCCAGCTGAGCTGTGTCGTCTGCCGTGTGTTTCCTTGACCGCGCCCGCACGTACTCGAGCTCGGGCCAGCTGAGCTGTGTCGTCTGCCGGACGCCGGTGAAGAGCGAGCTGGCGTGGACGGCGCACCTGGTCAGCCGCTCGCACAAGGAGCGGGTGGCGGCTCTGCGCGACCAGCAGGGCGGCGACAAGCGGCCCGCGCCGGCCGCCTCCGCCGCCGACGACCGCACACGAGCCAAGCGGCTCAAAGGTGAGCACGGTCCGAGCGCCTCCCTCTGCCGAGCACGGGACGGCTGGTCCACACAGCGCCCCTGGAGATTTGTGTGTCGGGCGACGTTTCGTGATAGATGGACGGTGTTATGGGACAGCACCTGTCGCTGTTGGGTGCCCAGTGCATACATATACTACTTGTTTTCAATCGCGTTTCATGTGATTTGTATGCATTTTGTCGTCAGATGCGAATATCTGATTGGTCTTTGGGCCAGCATAAGGCTACCCAGTGACGGCGAGTGCAAGTGGAGGATGCAGGGGGGCTAGTATCCGAACTAAAAAAAACGACAATTTAAGCCCTGCGCCGTTGCATCGAAAGCACGGAGATCGAAAAGTGTCCTTCCCCACCCGTGAGGATCTGCCGTCAATGCCGTTGCGCCCCGTTATGGTGCAGCCTATCGCACCCCGGTCACTGGTTGACGCTGCAGTATTCCTGGAGCACTGGAGCACGAACAAACGCTGTTTTCGACAGGAGACAAGTCGGTCCCAGACGACTTCTTCGAGAAGCCACAGGTGCCAAAGAAAGGCATATTGAAGAATGCTCCTCGGCCAGCGCCGAAACCAGCAGTGCCTAACCGGCTGCAGCCTTCACAAGCAGCGCCAGCTGTCGAAAAAATGGACACGGACGATGCAGGTGCCAGATGTGGTCATGCGGTGTGTCTTGCCGAACGTCTGATGGATTCCCATGATTTTCTAAGGCTAAGATTAGCGGGGTTTTCGGGAGTGATATCTGATTGGTGTGGTTCATGTCTATGTCCATGCCCAAAGAACCCACCGGTCCAATTGGATTAGGAAGCTGTGTTGCAGTCCGTTTTCGTTAGATGGCAGCACCAGGCGTGTATTTTATGTTTGTGGTCCTATGTCGTGTGTTGAGACACCCCTGCCGTGTGTCGGCCACCCGTGCCATATGTCAGACGCCCGCACCATGTATCAGACACCCACGCCTTGTGTTAGACACCTGTACCGTGTGTCAGATACCCGCGTCGTGTGTCATGCATCCGTGTCTTATGTCAGACACACGTACCGTGTGTCAGACACCCATGCCGTGTGTCAGATACTCGCGCCGTGCGTCGGACACCAGCACCGTGTGTCGGCCACCCGTACCGTGTGTCGGACGCCCGTGCCGTGTATCGGACACTCGTATCGTGTGTCAGACACCCGTGCCGTATGTCGGCCACCGGTGCCGTGTGCCAGACACCCTTGCCGTGTGTCAGATATCCGTGCCGTGCGTTAGACACCCGTGCCGTGTGTCGGACACCGTGTCCGTGAACAGTGTTCATGGCGTGTGCCCCTGACCTTGTGTGTCGCGCGGCAGGTGCTGTTCCGGATGCCGTGTCACCACCGTCCACCTCCGAACAGCTGCCCGACACCGGGCAGCTGCCCGAGGGCTTCTTTGACGACCCGCTTAAAGATGCCAAGGCGAGTGGCGGCTGGCTGTGTTTTCGCTGTGTTTACGAGACGCGGCTCAGCAGGTAACGTTACATGAGCGATCATGGACGATCAGCGGTTAACGACCGGCACGTTGATGGCTCGCTGTAGCCTGTGGCATATTCAGTTGGCATTTTTAGGCGAGCATGACACCGTTTGCGGCGTGGGCGGCTACGGTGTGCATTATTGAGTGCGCGGCTCCAGTGGCTGGACGTGAGCACCATGGCCGGAATAGTTTCTCTGCAAGTGGATGGACATGGCACAGGGTGCTCGTTAGGCGGGCGGGCTCTGTCTACCGCTGGTCTCGCCCCATTAAGCTGAACTGTGGCGTCCGTCTCGGAGGGCGGACGGCGCTCTGTGAGGTTCCACCGCGCGGCACCAGATGGCTCTGGCGGTCTCCGCCCGGTCCCGAGTCCGGGCGCGCGGTCGGCCGATGGTTTGTGGGGCGGCCTCACCTGAATCGGATTAGCACCGCACCGTCCCGGCTTGTTTTGTTCGCCGCGCACCGCTCCAGATAACTCGGTCCGTTTTCTATTAGCATAAATCTCGGAGAGGGAAGTAATTTTTTTGCTCGGTTGTTGTGACAGAAAGTGCTTAGCTGGGCAAACTTCCTGCACTTTTTTACAGCTGGGGCCCATCCATCTAGCGACCGGGTTCCTCAGGGCAGGGGGTGACAAAATACACTAAGACAATCGATGGCGTGGGGGAGGGTGGAGGGTGAGATGAGGGGGGCGGGGCCGGAACGGGAGAGGGTGGGGTGCAGGGAAAATGAGGACGACCCAACCCCAGAATGCATCCAATTAAGGATTTATATTGGAGTAATGGGTGTGACTCTACGTTGCCTAGATCAACATGCACCCATTCGATTTTCCCTCCCTAGGCTCGCTTGGTGAATGTGCCGGGAACACAAGCAAGAGCAAAACAACGGTGTAAGATGGAAAATGCTCCTGACTGCTTCTTTCTGTTGTACGCTCTCAGGTCGTCACGGCACTTAGTGCGTGCTGGTTCCCATCGCTTTCCCGTCCCATCCTAAGCCATCTGTTGAGCTGGGAGCGTCGTTGACGCACGAGCCTGATACTGTGCGATCGCCTGACGCGTCCGGCCTTGACGCTGCGCAACCGAGCCGGCTCCGCCCCCCGTCTCAGCCAGCCTGATCCCGCCGGACAGGCTAGCGATGCTCTCACCAATATCACCTCGGCACTTTTTATGGCTCGTAACGACCAGCGCGTAAAACCTCCATTATGTGCAGATGTGCCGGCACGTCAAACAAACAAGGCGGTGATGGACCCGTGCCATTCCCCCCGTTCTCCGGCGGAAGGGGGTCCATGCGGAGCAGCCAGGCCGTGTCCGGGCCGGGATGACCGCTGCGCCGTCCTCAGGCGCGGCACGTGGAGTACCGCGACCCGGCCGAGGTCGAGTGGGAGAAGTTCCAGCGCGAGATGCAGACGCAGATGGCCGAGTCGGAGGTGATCCTGGACGAGGACCAGCAGGAGGCCACCGTCGGACGCCAGATCGAGGAGGTCGACGAGCAGATCCGCAACCTCTCCAGGTCAGACGGCCGGCCGCCGCGGCGCTCGGGCGGCGGCGGAAGACGCTGCCGCGCCCGCCCTCCGAATACACGACAGCAGCCGACCACTGTCTACACCATACACAGGCGTTTTCCCGACATCCAGCACAGCTGTGTTAAACATGGGTTGCAGTAGGAATTCCGGATTACAGTAGGAATTTGTAGTCGACTCAACTTCGGTTGAGTCGAAATTGAGTCGATTCTGCTAATGATTTGAATGCATCGAAGTGAGAATGAGTGCATCGTAGTCTGGATGAGTGCGTAAGAGTCAAAATAAGTGCATCGAAGTTGGAGTGAGTGTACCTGGGCCAGAATAGGTGCATCGGGTCAGAATGAGTGCGTCGGGGTTGAATGGAGTGCGTCGGAGTCATGAGAAGTGCGTCGGAGTCGGAATGACTGCGTCGGAGTTGGAATGAGTGCGTCGGAGTTGGAATGAATGCGTCAGAGTTGGAATGAATGCGCCTGAGTCAGAATGAGTGCATTGGAGTCATAATTGAATCAAACATGTCGCCTGGGGTCATCAATGAGATGACCTCATTTGAAACGTACTCCCCAACATAAGCGTCTGGTGGCGTGGATGCATAGAACACAAAACATCAGCTGCAGTCTTGTCATAACAAGCATACGTACCTTACATGCATGCTATTTGTTGTCCGTTTATCGGGTTTTCTCTGAGCTGTCTGGAAAAAGTTCCGCTCCGTTGTAAGATATTCCGGCATGGAACCATATCTTTCTGAATTGGCATTGGGGTCGGCTTCGCGTTTGGATGTTTTGCTCGCGGCTACAGCCGGAATCGATACCGTCGGGCCGAAAGCATGTGGAAAGTCCGCTATCCAGTCCGCAACACCCGCCGTTTATGACGTCCAGTAGGGTCTATGGGGTTGTTTTCACACACGGGAACTGCACATTTTGCGCTTCATTTTGTAAGGAGATGCTCCAGCGGTGGGAACGGTTAAGAATATGGAGATTTGGCCTCCTTTGATGTGATGTGAACTGATTCCTGAAGCCTCCCGCCGAGCTGATTTGGTTGGAGTCGACTTGTCATGCCTTCGTTTGAGTTGCGTATTCAGTAATCAAGAGGCCCGCTAGGGCGGTGCACAGCTCAATAGAGCTTGGTTTCACCTTTGTGACATTTGTGAGCGTGTCCCTTAAGTTAGGATACCCCGCAAACTGCGAACCTCTGCGCTTGATGTGTCTCACAAGGAGATACCAAGGCCACCCTTTCATGACACCAATATCGCCATACCACGGCACGAATACACGACCGCTCATATTCCCAGCGAAGTCTTCATCTGTCTGTGTTTTTCCCGTGAAAAACGTGGTCTCAATATGCTGCGTCTGTGTGTGAATTGGACGCGCTGCCCTCGCGGACATCGTGGGCACCAGCGCGGCGCTCAGCGCGTCTGTCGGCTGCTGAGCTGACATGTGACGGCGGCGTCGCGGGGCCGTCCACTGTTGGTCATGTGCCGCTGCCGCGTCCGTGGCCAGCGCTCCCCCGCTGCTGTCGGGATGCGGCCGCCGCCACCGGCCCAACTTGGGCCCGAGTAGGGCCTCGGTCGGACGGGCCACCGGCCGCCGCCACCGGCCCGACTCGGGCCCGAGCGGGGCATCGGTCGGACGGGCCGCCGGCCGCCGGCCGCCGGCTGCCGGCTGCCGGCCCACCGGGAAATCAGGCCGCTTATCTTGTATGCCGCGCTCGTGGTGGGTGGCGCCGTCGGCCGATCGACGCGCGTACGGGTGGACTAGGGCGGACCCTCCCCTGCTCTACTTTTCTGCTCCCGTGTGCGCGTGTATTAGCGATGCATCGCTTCACGTGCAGATGCAGGCGCACACGCACACCCTCCAGCCCGCTCCAAGCGTTCCGCGGTCACCGGGGCGGCCGCGTTAGTGGCTCGCTCTTACGAATGCAGGAGCCGTCCGCCGCCCGCGCCTGTCGGACTGCCCGCACGCCGGGCGCCACCGTCCGTCTGGCGGGAGGAGCGCCTTTCCGGCGCGCCTCGGTCCCGTACGGCGGCGCGCGTCACTCACGCGAGCGGGCCGGCCCGTCCGTGCGTTAAGCGTCGCTCGACGGCGCGGCGGCCGACGTCTGGTCGTTACTCGGCGATGGTCTCGGCAGGAAACGCGCCGGAAGAACGATCAGCAGCCGGCGGCGCGTCACGTGTGCGGCGGCGGTGTCCGCCGCCACCGCCGAATATCAATTGGATGGCCGGCCGGCGGCCACCCGCCCTCCGACGATCAAGCCTAATGAGAGCGCCGCCGGCCGCCGCGGGCAGGGCACGTCGCGTCTGATGGCCGGCCTGGCGCTGGTGCTGCCGCGGCTGGCGCTGGTGCTGCCACGGCCGGCGCTGGTGCCGCCACGACCGGAGCTAGTGCTGCAAGCTAGTGCGCTGCTCGTCCGCCACTCCTCGTGCACTGCGGTTCCCCCAGATCCTGTCCCATCGCCACGTCTGTCCGCGGTGGCCGCGGCGGGCCGGCGTCACTTTCCACCGGTCTGTGCATCCCACCGGCGGGACCGGATAGAGGGTTTCCATTAGTCGTGCCGATCACTGTCGGTCGCGGAAGCGGGCGGTGTCCGGGCTGCGGCGGCCATTTCCGCTGCTTCCGCGGAGATGGGTCCCGCGACGCTGGAAGGGTGCGGGGATCTCCCGTCTCCCCCGCCGCCGCGCAGGAGCCGCTCGGATTCGATGGGCTCCCTCCGTGTGAGTGATCTGTGTGATGATCCGTCCGTGTGTGAAAGTCATGTGAAGTGTGATCCACCCGCCGCGTAGCACACGTAGTACACGCGACTCTGGCCAGTGTGGAGGATTCGTCTGTATTTGGAAGAGCGCCTGCCGGTGTGTGGTGTCTGTGCGTGCCCATGGCTTTGACACTGTATTTATGTGTGCCCAGTGCTGTCCGTGCCCCTATTGTGCATGCATGAGGCTTTGTGCGCATGCTTGCGCACGTCTTCGCAGACATGGCATGGAACCGACGCTGTCTGTCCTTATATGCTCCGTCTGGGATGTGGCGTGGTGCAGGTGTGACCATGCCCGCATTCGCCTGCGGCGCTGTCTGTTCTTGTGTGCTCCGTCTAAGATGTGACATGGTGCAGACGTGGCCATGCCCGTGTACGCCTGCGGCGCTGTCTGTCCTTGTATGCTCCGTCTAAGATGTGACATGGTGCAGGCGTGGCCATGCCCGTGTACGCCTGCGGCGCTGTCTGTCCCTGTATGCCCCGTCTGAGATGTGACGTGGTGCAGGCATGGTCATGCCCGTGTACGCCTGCGGCGCTGCCTGTCCCTGTATGCCCCGTCTAAGATGTGACGCGGTGCAGGCGCGGCCATGCCTGCGTTCGCCTGCGGCGCTGTCTATCCCTGTATGCCCCGTCTAAGATGTGACGCGGTGCAGGCGTGGCCGTGCCTGCGTTCGCCTGCGGCGCTGTCTGTCCCTGTATATCCCGTCTGAGATGTGACGTGGTGCAGGCGTGGCCATGCCCGTGTACGCCTGCGGCGATGTCTGTCCCTGTATGCCCCGTCTGAGATGTGACGTGGTGCAGGCGTGGCCATGCCCGTGTACGCCTGCTGCGCTGTCTGTCCCCGTATGCCCCGTCTAAGATGTGACGCGGTGCAGGCATGGTCATGGCTCGGTCAGCCCGCGGCTCTCTCCGTGGGGATCTGCGGCGGCGTCCGTGTACGTGTACGGCGGCGTCCGTCTGTGTATGTTCGTGGGTCCGGTCCTGTGTACAGTGGGTGGATCGGCCGGCGCTTGTGTGCCTGGGATTCGCTGCTCGTGTTTGTGGTCGTAGCCCTGTCCCGGCCCGGCCGTCGCGCCTGTGCGGGGTCGCAGGAGTGGGGAAAGGAGACAACTGAGGCAGCGCCGCCGGCTCACTTTCCATTTGGGCGCGCGGAGCAGCGCGACAGCCGCCGCCATGGGCCCGATCGGCGGCGCTGTCGGCCGCGTCGGCCCACTCGGCCCGCTCTCGGCGACCGCACACAAGGCGGCTAATGACGACGGCGCGGCTCGGCCGCCTCTTCAGGCCGCGCGCCCCGCTCTCGGTCTCCGTCGTCGCTCTTCCGGCGGGCGCGCCAGGTGAAGTGCGTTCGAACGGTGCTCACAGCGGATTTTGGCGGAGAGCAGCGGATGCGGGCGCATCGTGAGCAGGGCTGGTATGCGGGCTGCGGTTCAGACGGTGCGATGGTTTCAGGCATGGACGCTCATTTCAGAAGGGAGCTCCAGATTCCGGTGATACTTGTGCGTAGTCGGTCGTGACGCATCGACAGGCGGTCCATGTTAATGGACAAAGTCGGATTCGGCCCTGGCTGATTTCATCGTCGCGAATGGCTTGCTATCAAAGCGCCTGGACCGAAACGACCCTTGGCTGTCTCATTCACTGGATAACTTTTAATTATAAAGTCGTTTGACAACCCTGTGAGACAGTTTGAAGTAGCAGCCACCTGCCTGTGGCTGTTCCCGGCACCGGGACGGGCAACACTGGGCCGCGAGCAGCTCTGCGCTGTGTCGTTCTGGTCCGCGAGATGGAGTAGTGCTGCCCTGACCGGGGCCCGGGCAGTCAAGGTCAGTCGTCAGTCATCGCCGGCGCCATGCGGCGGCAGGCAGTGGGCGCCTCGCTGTCGCGTCCCTGTCGGGTCGGAGATCGAGCCGGTGCCGCCGGGCCTGTGGCCGCGCGTCACTGCCCGCCAGCCGCAGAGCTATGCTTGTGTGTTCGTAGGTGGACTGCCTCCCATGCATGGGTGACCACTGAGCCCAGAGATAAGTGCTGTCTCCCTCCTCTCTCTGTGATCTCCTCGAACCCTGGCCAGAATACTCACAGCTTCCGCACTTTCAGTGCCCATTAAACCCGGGTCGAAGTGCACCCTCAGCAGTGGCCATTTGGTTCTGGTCGTGTCAGGATCGTGGGCTGCCCAACCCGGCCAGAGCTGTGAGCTGCTAGTTTTGGAGACCGGCAGTCAGCAGCCGTGCTCGCGGCTCCTCCGTTTTGTCAG